AAATTAAAATTAATTCATCTTCAATTTAATTTAATTAAAGGCAAACTATCCACATTTAAATTAAAAATTTTAGAAAAAATTCATAAGATCGTATTTTGGGACCATTTTCGAAATTCAAAATTACTAAACATATTTACAGGTGTGTATACTATATAAACCTTGTAGGTTGTAGCCACGCCAGACAGCCTCTTTCATCTGGGACGTGTCAATCTAAATTACTTAATCACCCCTATCCCTTTGCACATGCCTTCAGAATTCGAGGGGGTATATTAATAAATTCAAACCCAAAAGCCTGAGAAACCGGCGGGAAAATCGGACGATCAGTAACTCCATTTTTTTTTCTGGTTTCTCAGATGAAACAAAACAAATTCATTCACTTCAAAAATACCCAAAAATCTGTGGCAAAACACAAACTCTCATTCCAAAAACACTTTTTTCGTTCTCTGTTAAACTAATTTCTATAATTAGTCTCGCGCTTTCTTTCTCATTTTCTCGCCATCCAAACGAGGTACGTCGAGAAAGTTTCATACTTTCATTTTCTTTTTCTCTCAAGGATCCGCTGTGTTTTGTTTTGATTCTTCTGAATAGCATTTCTCTAATTTGATTTCCTTTTAATTTTTTTCTTTTTAGATTTGAGTAAAGTAAAGCTTTACCGTACAATTCTGGCGCTCCGAGATAGCATTCGGTGGCTTCCACGAGTCCTCGAATTGTTTAATCGAAGAGTCCAACAATGGTGATCGAAACGTCCATTGGTCGAGGCGGGGATGAGTCGGCGCCGGCTTCGGCATCGGCATCGCCAAGGGGTCGGCTGAAATTTATGTTAAGCCATGGGGGGAAAATATTGCCTCGGCCAGGGGACGGTCAACTCAAGTACGTCGGAGGCGAGACTCGCGTGCTGGCGGTCCCTCGCGACATAACTTTCTCAGGTTCTCCATCTTTCTCGCTTCTAATGAGAATTCGAGGACAAAGATATAAAATTTCGATCCTGAAATTAAGATTTGTGTTGTCAATGTTTTTATCAGTTAATATTTCCATGATTTCAATGGATGTTTGTTGTAGATCGAGAGGAAGTTTGTCGGATTATAATTTTACAGAAATTTCGAGAAATGTCCATATAATGTATTGAGTTCTCAAGTTTGTGTGTTTTACAGAATTGTTGATGAAGAAGTTAAATGTCAATATAATGTGTTGAGTTCTCAAGTTTTTATGTTATACAGAATTGATGAAGAAGCTAAATGTCAATATAATGTGTTGAGTTCTCAAGTTTTTATGTTATACAGAATTGATGAAGAAGCTAAATGTCAATATAATGTGTTGAGTTCAGAAATTTTTGTGTTTTACAGAATTGATGAAGAAGCTTGGCACTTTAGTTGATGGGGAAATGGTTCTCAAATACCAGGTGATACCAGATGATCTTGAGGCCTTGGTGTCTGTAAGATCTGATGAGGATCTTAAGCATATGTTTGATGAACATGACCGTAATGAGATTGAAGGGACCTCGAAGCTACGTGCCTTCGTGTTCCCTTCCAGTCCGGTTATACTTGAGAATCAGATTATCACTGTGGAACCTCATCTCATTGAGCAACGATATATCGACGCTATCAATGGCGTAATTCGTCCCACCATTAATGGAAGGCTTACACCAAGCTACTCGAAACGTTCCTACTTCTGTGCCTCTGATAATACTTCCCCCAAATCCCTCTCTCCTGATGCCAAAACCAATGATTCAAATTCTCCCTTTGAACATGTTTTGGTGAATGGATGCCATGATAGTCGGATTGGTGTGCATAAAGTCCAGAGTTCTCCTAGTTTTTATAGTTTCAACAACACAGTCCCTCTCCAAAGCAGCAACCTTTCCAACCACCAAGCTTACCAGCAGCACTACCATTACCACCAAGGCTACCAGCAACCACAGCAGCATTATGCTGGTTGCCAAACTCCTAATGCTAGACCACCGCAAGAACTTCGCATGGACAGGTTATCCCCTTTCTCAATAGGGCAGCATGATTTTTCGAGGGTGGCCATGGGGCAGCAACCTTCCCCAAGCCAAATTTATCCACCAGGTAGACCTAATGTGGGAAATGAAGATAGCAGCAGGTATAGTTGCCATGATGAGTACTTGATGATTTGTGGAAACGGAAGGCCTGGGTCAGATGGTGTTCCAATGACACCCCATCACATGTGGGATTAAGCTATATAATACTGACAGCCAGCTTAGGTGAGGAGCTGAGTAGCTGACACAGGGTATATAGATCTTTACTCTTTTCTTTCTTTTTCTCTGTTTTTGAATGAGAATTCCTTAGTGCAATGATGCAAAGGAATATGATATATAGGGGAATCTTTCCCCATCTATACCATACATGATTGGTTTGGTTATTTTTTGGTTGATGTCCTCCCTGTATATTGCCGAGGATAACATTGAGCTAGATTTGTGGTGTTTCATGTGAAATATTATGTAAATTTCAACAGAAAAGAAATGGTTTTTGGTTTTCCAATCTGTCTTCTATAGGCAAGAACATGACAGCTTCTGCAGCTTCCCCATGTTAAAATTTTCCTTTACCCCTGTTCTTTCTGATGGTTTATTGTAATCTTTCTGATGGTTCATTGTAATTTAGGAAGAATATCTGGGAAGTCCTGAATTTAACATGTGCAGTATATGAAGAGAGTAACCAAAGAAAAACTTTTCATTTTAGGGGGAAGGAACACAGAAATCATTGTTGTCTCTTCTCTAAATCAGTATATGAGTCACTTAATGAAACATTTTACAATGTTTGACATTTCCTGTGGAATTGTTCACTTGCATTGTTAACATTAATCTAGGCAAGTTGCTTCTGGGGAAGAGCTCTCCATCCAATATCT